AACAAGTGCGTACCTGAATGCCCGTGTGACGTGTGTGACATCTGTAGATATATAAAGGGAACTGGGAAAACCACTAAGACTAGAGGAATAGGGAGTGGGTGGTGGAAATTCTTTGTTTAAATGTGGTCAGGAGATTGGCAAACCTAGACTGTCTTATAAAGAAAAACAGAGTCCAAAAATGTAGGATGGAGATGGCCAATGGCGAGGTAAAACAAGCACATTCACATTCACAATAATGGATCTGGAACCATTTCAGGGATGAAATATTGACCAAGCAGTATCTGACTCAATTTATGACCTCAGCTTGAATTATTTCAACTATATTTTACCATAAACTTTATATTCAAGACTTTTTAAAAGACAGTTGCATGGATCACTGAAATATATGAATATAGACTATATTCACTAATAAAGCCTAGCAAATATCATGGGTGAATCTCCACAAAAACAGCACAATAATTACTTGCATGCATCCCCCCTTTCAATTCATGTCTATCTTATTATTTAAAAGCCTCTGGGGAATTTAGTATGGTTAATGCTTAGAAAGTCAATGTATATTTCATAGTCCTCTTCTTATTGCTTTGTCAGCATCATTTGGTACGTCTTAAAAGCCTGTTCTCAGGGCTTCTGGGGTACTAGGCTGCCTGCATTCTTCCCACCTCTCCTGTGCTCTTCTTTGCTGGTCAATCCCTATCTTACCTGTACATGTCCAAACTCTTGCTTTGGGTTCTCTTCTCTTCACTGTACATGAGTCCTGAATGATCTCATTTACTCATGCCTTCAGCATCTCTACCTGCCTACCTGGCAGGTCGTTTACACTCTAATGGTTACTTGAAACTATTTAACTTCTCAGCTATCACTTTGTCCAAGCCACCATCATCTCTGCTAGCCTTCCATGTTTCTTTAAAAGCCATAAAATTATATCAATTTATATTCAATACAATGTAATCAGAATGATCTTTCAAAAATGTAGTTGTCTATGGCAGGCTTAAATTTTCACAATGTACAACAATTCAGATGTAATTTGATTTTTTCTAAAACTAGACTCAATTCCTACCTCTTAGTGCTCATTCGTATATTCTAGCTTTACATTATTTTTAATGAATCCTAGTTAAACTTAGTGACTTTCAATTTTCTTAATATCTCCTCAGTAAATTTTAGGTTTCTAACCTTCCTTTTTTTTTTTTCTCCTCTTTTATTCAACATCTAAGTTGGGGGTGGGCAGGGGACTTTTGAAGCTCCCTGGTATTAATGGAGATCAGTCACGTGCTCTGAAGCTATTCTGGGCTTTTCATCAGCACCTGTCGAGATTAACTAGTCTAGTCGATGGCATCCTTTACACCTCCCAATATCCTCCCCTATTCCTTGGTTCTGGATTGTCAGGTCCACCCAGAAGCCCTCTGTGTCTTTACGCCACTTCAGGCCCTCACACAGGCACTTCCTATGCTCCCAGGGGCACAGACCATTTTAGATGTTTGTCAATTTAGCCTCCAACATGTGTAGTAGACTATGTAACCTTTCTACATGTGCATGGAACAAAAAGTTCTCTCTCTCTTTCTCCATCTAAAGAGTTAAAAAAGTCACTGAATTAAGATTCTCTCCAGATAAGCTAAAAACTTGTTCTGATATTCATTTTAGGTTCATTTAAAAATTGGCACATTGAAGAAAAATGAAAACTCATTTGACTATCTAGAAAAATTCTGCTGCTATTAAGCCTATTTAAAGTCTGGATTTGAATCTATATTACAAAGGTACAGTATTCAAAATGGTATGGTACTGGAATAAAAATAGACACATGTACCAATGGAACAGAATAGAAAACCCAGAAATAAACCTAAGCATGGCTTATATGGTTAACTAATTTTGACAGTCACCATGAATACGCAATGAGGAAAGAATAATTTCTTCAATAAATGATGCTAGAAAAACTGGATATCCACATGCAAAAGAATGAAACTGGACTTTTATATTACACCATACACAAAAATTAACTCAAAATAGATGAAGACTTAAACATAAGACCTGAAACCATACAAATCCTAGAAGAAAACATAGGGAAAAACTCCTTGACATTGGCCTTGGCAATGATTTGTTGGATATGACTCAACAGCTCAGGCAACAAAAGCAAAAATCAACAAGTAGGACTGTATCAAACTAAAGAGCTTCTGCACACTAGAGAAAATCATCAACAGAATAAAAAGGGGACCTATAGAATTAGAGAAAATATTTGTAAGCCACATATCAGATAAAGGGCTAATATCCAAAACATATAAGGACTGATACAATTTAATAACAAAAAACTCCCAAAACAACAACAAAAACAAGCAACTTGATTAAAAGATTGGCAAATGATCTGACTCAACACTTTTCCAAAGAAAACATACAAATGGCTAACCCTACATGAAAAGCTGCTCAATATCACTAATCATTAGGGAAATGATGATATCAAAATCACAGTGAATCACCTCACGTCTGTTAGGATCTGTTATCAAAAATTTTTCTCATTTTCTCAAAAATGAGAAAAATGTTGGCAGGATATGGAGAAAAAAGGGAATTTTTGCACACTGTTGATGTGAATGTAAGTTGGGGCAACCATTATGGAAAACATGTGGAAGTTCCTCAAGAAACTAAAAATAGAACTACCATCCAATCCAGCAATCCCTCTTCTGGGTATATTTAAAGGAAAAGAAATCAGTACCTTAGGGAAGTATCTGTGTTCATTGCATTATTTATAGTAGCCAAAATGTGGAAACAACCTAAGTGTCCGTCAACAGATGAATGGATAAGGACTAAGATATTATTCAGCCATGGGAAAGAAGGAAATCCTGTCATTGTGACAGCATGGATGAAAATGAAAGACATTACGCTAAGCGAAATAAGCCAGACACAGAAAGAAAACAACAGCATGATCTCAATTATATTTAGCATCTAAAAAATGAAAATACATAGAAGCAGAGTAGAATAGTGGTTACAAGGGGTGAGCAGGTAGAGGAAATGAGATGTTGGTCAAAGGCTACAAAGTTGCAGTTAGATAGGATGAATAAGTCTAGAAATCTAATGTACAGCCTGATGACCAGAGTTAATAATCCTGTATTGAATACTAGAAATTTGCTAGGAGAGTAGGTTTCAGATGCTTTCATCACACATGCACAAAAGCATCATTATGTGAGAAGGTATGTTAATCAGCTTGATTGTAGTAATCACTTCACTATGTGTATTGAATCAAATCATCATGTCTTAAATATATAGGGTCCAGCATGAATAACACTCCTTTTTTATTAGAAAATCTTTTATTACAAAATCATAAGCATGTACTCCTGTAGCATAACGATATCACACTCAAGCATACCATGTGACATTTTAGGTGAAATGTTCACATTAAAACTATAAATTATTACACCCATATTATTACCCTACCAACCACACTCAGGCAGGGGTTACTTCTGCTGAACCCTGTATACATTTTTTATTAAACACATATATAAGTCCCTGAGATGTTCAGAAATGCAAATCATAGCAAAACATTAGTAGCTTCCCCCACACTCCCTTTTCCCACTGAGGACTGGGCTGAGCTGCTTACACAGGGCACACTACCTGGCTGCCCTTGTTTTCCCTATGTGACCAGCACCTCACTGCCCACATTTACCATGGTTGCCACATCCACAACCAAGAGGGAAGCTCAGCCCCTGCTTTCCCCTCTGCTCCCGTCTGCACATGGGTCATTCATGGCAGTCGAACTGTTGGGCCTCTGGACTCTGACTTGTTAAGCAGTTTCTTTAATGAAGAGGTTCTGGGCCGGTGCCTGAGAACAGCAGGGGTGGAAAGGGCCAAAATCCACTTTGGGGGCAAGCTTTTATATATTTTTTAATTTTTTATTTTTAAAGTTGCACCACAATTCATGACAATAATGTGTCAAGATAATTGATTGAAACATTAAGATAGTTTCCTTCCTTACATATCAGGCAAATAGCCAGGCTCATTCTAGTATTTTCTTGCCCAAGGGATTTTTGCAGAAACTGCATGAGGTTAGCAGCTCTTCCTGTCTTTGGCAGGAGCCAAACTCATTGCAGAGATGCTGCCAAGGTGTCCTGGAGGGGGTGGCGAGGGAATGGAAGGCCTTGGAGAAAGTGAGGGAGAATGAGCAAGGGAAAATAAACACAGATTCTCTTAGGGAGAGGGCAGCAGAGCTGTCGGCGGCCATCCCTAGGGGAGGTGGTAAGGCTGCAGAGAGGATGGCTGTCTGCAGCGTGTGAGGACCGGGCATGATTTCAAACTTGCCAGTTTCCGGCTGCCCCTTGTAGGTAGGGGAGCAGTAGAGCCTCCCAACATGAAGGGACCATAAGGTCCGCTAGGAGACGGGTGTCTCAGCAGTAATGGTGGGCAAATGACTAGTCACCACACGTTCAACCTGATCCTCACCTTGGTGGGTGTGTAAGGCTTTAGGGCCTTTGAACATTCTTGGCAAGCAAGTGGCCCAATAACTACTGAGTCTGAGTTCCCAGACAGTTTAGTGGGAAGGGGGCAGAGTGTGATATAGGCTGATAGAAGAAAATTTAATAATGCATCTGGGTTTGTATTTCTGAACAGAGATAGGCATTTTCCATACTCTACTCAAAGTGTCAGACATTGACAAAAGGAACAGCTCCCTCTTATCAAACCTGTACCCTACCCCTACCCTGGTCCCCCCAGCTCCATCCCTTTGTATTCCCTGTGGTGTCATATGCCAAGTTCTAGTTAAAGTGTGTACAATGGGAAAAAGAAAACAACAAGAAAAAGGAGGAGAAGAAAGCCAGAGAAAGTATGTGGAACATTCTTAAAAAGTGTGTTATCTGTTTATAAAAAATGGAATGAAAGGAAGGTTTTCCCCAAAACAGTTTGAACATAGTCACTTCAAATCTGCTATAGAATAAATGTGGGAAACTAAGAAGTAACTAAAGGGAAGTACCTGGCATTGCCTTTCCTGCAGGAAGGTCTATCTATTTTTTTTTTTTTTTTTTTACCTGAGAAGTACTGCGGAGAGGAAACTCGTCTATTAATTGGCTTATGAGGATAGACACCCAGATAAAGAGGCTTCAGTTGCTGTGACAAAATCATTTCATTCAGTTTTTTCTGCAGAATGAAATATTCTTCAGATAACTTTGATATCTAAAAAGAAGGCCAGGTGTCAGATTAAATCAAGGAAAAGAATTCAGAGAGTTCACAGGTACACTGGGGTCTAATGAATTCCTGATCACCGGTCCCTGGGACACTCACCGACTTCTTTTTCAGGACCTACCCTGACCCTGTACCAACGGCTGAAAAAGGCTTCACTTGGCAAACATGTACTCCCTGTGCTATGTTCCTATTTCACATTTGCCATTTACAGTTGCCAGTCATGGAATGCTACATGATGCGTTCTGTCCTGATCAACTCCTTCCTGGGGTTCCTAAGACGTGGCTTCTGTCCTTACCATTCTCTTGTGATTGCCTTTCTGCTATTTGCTGGAGGAGCCCCTCTGCTGACTGACTGTCCTCCTTCCTCTTGAGTTTCCTTTGCCTGACTTCAGGGCCTCTCTCTCCTGGCTCCGCTCCTTCCACATGGCACTGCTGCCTGTGTCTCTTCTGTTAACAGGGCTGTCCTCCTAGGTTGAATGTGGGGATCCTGTTTTCCTGCCTCTAGCTTTGTCCCTGGGGAGCGCGGAACCTGCCCCAGGGCCTCATCAGCCACTCTGGGGAGGTGACTTCATCATTTTACATCTCCTCAATATTTCGGCTGCATAGCATGCCAGGGTTCTAACTCTGAACTTGGTCTTCAGAATGGACAAATTTATGCACCAAGGGAAATAAAGGACTGCTTAAAAAAATAGCACAGGAAGGGGTTTGCTAAATAAATCAATGGCATATCCTACTAACAGCTAGAAGTAGGAGATATTTCCACACCTGTAACACTCAGGGGTGTCCAAGGGCAGTTTACTGTGCTTTCTTGTGGGCTCATCTACCATCAGACAAAAAAGCAGAGTTTAAGTACTTGACATTATGAGCTGATACTTCTTTGAACCAAGCATTATGATACTTCTTCTATGATTTCATACACTATTGACTACCCTGGTAGTTCATATTAGTTTATAATATGCATTTTAGAGATCATCTAGTTAAAATCCTTCACTTTACAAAAGAAAATAAAGGTGCTGATAAAGTTATTTTCTTAAGATCAAACATGTAGAGAGAGAGCAGGAGCTGGAAGTGGCATTTACAGGGACCAGTCCCTATGGTCTCTCCATAGTACTGATTTTTCAGAGTTCTGTGTGCTCCCATGAGAAGCCCTAACATTGATTGCTCCCTTCTAGAAACAGCCGAGACATGCCCACTAATGGCATGACATATTCTCCAAGAGGGAGTTTTTCTTGGTGGTTTTTCTTTATGGTTCCTCACTGTCAAGATGTAACATGAAGACTTTCAGCTTCATTGCACATGTGCCTCAGTGTGGCTACACATCTAATTTCCATACCTGATGATGTTGTCTCAAAATCTGGGGCAAAAAAATCATAGACTTTAAAAAATTTAGAATACAATAAAAAAAACTATCGTGAAAGATCTCAGATACATAGAAGCTGGCATTGTCAAATGCTAGCATTTTTAAGCTGTTTACACCAATGACTAGTCACCCTGCTACACAAGATTTTTTATCATATTTTGTACTATTTTATCATAGCAAATTGTTTCAAAATTTACAGCAATTTGGATAGCACAACCCTTGAAAGATTTTAATAAAAGGGTTAGTGATCTCATAAAAACAGATGAATGAACTATGGTTTAATTTACTTATTGCGTAGTCCCCAGAGATTTGTACTAGTAAATAAATTTATTTACATACCTGTTTTGAAAACATTGCCAAATCGCATGCTTCTTTCTCTGAAATTGCTCTTGAGTCTTTATCATTCCTCATCTTGATATTACAGGATTCCTCATGTTTTGTGGAATAGGTATACAAATTTTGAGTATTTCTTGCTACTTCTGTTGCTGTTGGAGTGATCTTTTGATTTTTAAAAGAAGACCTCCTGTCCTTCCTTAACTGCTGTCTTCTCTTGTAACCCCGGTATTTGCTCTGAATGAACACTGCTGCTTTATCTTCTTCGTCCTGAGCTTGCGCCGATGGTTCAGCTTGATTCTCTTTGGCCATCCCATGCCTCAGGTGGCTTCTCTGTGGGCTGCACGCGGATGTGTTCTGGGTGACGACAGATGTATTCTTTTCTTTTTCCTTGCTGTCCACATTTTGATAAACTGACCTTGGGCTAAGGCTCGGCTGTGAAGATTTTTTAATAGAAGGCTGCTTAGTTTCATTCTCAGCTAACCAAGGTCCTTGGTATTTTGGCCTTTCTGATACGACCTTCCTTTCCAGATACGCTGATTTTGAGTCTTCAAAATTCCTTTCCTCTGTATAGCTTTGATAGTAATGCTGGATCACAGTGTCCTCCTTATCCTCTTTGTTTATTTTACTGTTCTCTTCCGGGTCTTTAATATACTTCTGTTTGGGGTTTACTTCTGCCCAAGTGTCCCCCACCAAATACGATTCTTGCTTAGCCTCTTCCCCATACACATTATTCAATTTTTTCTGAGTTTGACATCCTCTGTTGTTATTTTCGACAGCATGAGTGGCTTCCTCTTCAGCTTTGAAGGTAGAAGTCTTCACTACAGATGTACTCCCTTTATTATTTGGAGCTGGATTGACCCTTCCATTAGCAGAGGCTGCATTTTCTATCTGTTTTTTCACAAAAGGTTCCCTGTGGAAAATATATTGCATCTGAATATATGATACTAAACTAGAGCTTATTACCTCCTTTGGCAATAGCTACATGCTACATAATGTTGGAAGAAAAGCAAAAGAGAAAAAAATCTTTAAAATAAAAACTTGCCAAGTCACATCCCAAAATATTATTTTTAGTGACAACTGTAATGGCTTCTCAAATAATGGTAAGACCAGTTTAAATTCTGAGTAAGAGATATCCTAGCAAATTTTCATTTTATGAGGGTGGTATCAAAATCTTAGATATTTAATTACTTCAATTATGTTCTTTTCAAACCAGAGTATGTACAGTGAGGAATGTTGTGGAACATATATCTAGATTTAAGACAAAAAAAACAGGGTATGTTTACTAGGCTGAGGGGCTAAATTTTAATAAGCTCTAAATCTTTTGATCACAGGAAATACTTTACAAAATTAAAGGCAAAGCAACATCCCTGTTACAGTTCATAATAATATAATATGTTGGCCAAAATTTCACACTTCTTACTTTACCAATATCCTTTCAAAATTGTTTCCCCTTAAATTAAAGATAAGATATTTTCTATAACTTTTTTTTTGTGTGAGAGCAAAACTCTCAAGATCAATTTGACCATGAAAAGAATGTTAAGGTAGAATCAAAAAAGTTGTAACCTGACACCTTGATATGCTACTTGGGGGCTTTTGCTAAAAACTTTCCATTTTGTCCCAGGAAAGCCATGGAAGAGTTTTGGCCTTTTGGAACTATTTGTAAAGAAGCGCTTTCTTTGAGTTAAACTTGGAGAAAGCTATTGGGACTCTATTTTCCTAATTTCTCTAGCCACTTCCAAAGTTGACTGTGGCATCCTCAGGCTTGTACAGGAGGGATAACAGAATCCCCATTATTCTGCTAAGGATCAGAGAACTAGGTAGGGAACCAAGAACCACATAATTTTTATGAATGACTATGCTAATACCCTCCCCCTAGAATGCTTATATTAAATAAAAGGAAAATACAGTTAATGAGAAAAGATGAGCAAACTATCTTAGAATGCTACAGTAATCAAAACAGTATTGTATTTGCATAAAATAAACACATAGATCAATGGGACAGAACAGACAGCCCAGAAATAAACACATGCATTTATGGTCAATAAATTTATGACAAAGAAGTCAAGAATATAAAATGGGGATAAGGTAGTCTCTTCAAAAATAGTGTCGGGAAAACTGAACAGCCACATATTAAATACTGAAACTGGACTCCTGCCTTATGCCACACACAAAAATCAACTCGAAATGGATTCAAGACTTAAGATATGAAGCCATAAAACTCCTAGAAGAAAACAAGTGGTAAGTTTTTTGACATTAGTCTTGATAATGATTTTTTGGATTTGATACCAAAAGCACAGGCATCAAAAGCAAAATTCAAATAGTGGACTACATCAAATGAAAAAACTTCTGCACAGCAAATAAAACTATCAACAAAATGAAAAGGCAGCCTGCCAAATGGGAGAAAATACTTTCAAATCATATATACGATAAGGGGTTAGCAAAAATACCAAACACCCTAATTAAAAAAATGGCCAAAGATCTGAATAGATTTTTTTTCAAAGACATACAAATGGAGAACAGGTATATGAAAAGATGCTTAACTTCATTAATCATCAGGTAAATCCAAATCAAAACCACAATCAGATAACATCTCACACCTGTTAAAATGGCTACTATCAAACAGAAAAGAGGTGAGTTTTGGTGAAGATGTGGAGAAAAGAAAACCCTGTGCATTGTTAGTGGGAATATAAATCCCACAGCCACTATGGAAAACAGTATGGAAGTTACTAAAAACTTAAAAATAGGACCACCATAATTCAGTAATACCACTTCTGGGTATTTATTCAAAGGAAATGAAACCATTATCTTGAAGAGATATCTGCACTCCCATGTTTACTGGAGTATTATGCACAATAGACAAGATATGGAAATAACCTAATGAATAGATGAATGGGATATATATATACACAATGGAGTATATTATTCAGCCATAAAAAAGAAAGAAATCCTGCCATTTGTGACAACATGGATGGGTCTTGAGGGAATTATGCTACGTGAACTAAACCAAACAGAGAAAGACAAATACTGCATGAGAGCAATTATATATGAATCTAAAAAAAGAGAAAGTCAAACTCATAGAAACAGAGAATAGAAAAGTGGTCGCCAGGGGCAGGAGGTAGGGAAAATAGGGAGATGTTGGTACAAGGATGCAAAATTTTCAGCTATAATATGAATATGGTCAGGGAGCTAATGTAAAACATGGTGACAATACTTGATAATGCTGTAGGGTGTAATTAAATTTTGCTAAGAGAGTAGAACTTAGGGGCTCTCATTCAGTAGAGGAAAAAAAGCAGAAAACGAAGTGAGATGATAAATGTGTTATACATCTAGATGGGGGGTCCTTTCACAATGTAGATATACATAAAATTATCATGATGTACACTTCAAATATCTTACAATTTATAAGTCAATTATACCTCAGTAAAGCTGATTTTTTTAAATGAACATTTTAAAAATCTAATACACAGTATTGTGACTGTTAATGCTGTGTTATATACTTGAAAGTTGCTAAGAGAGTAGTTCTTAAATGTTCTCGTCACACACACACACACACACACACATACACTCACACACACACACACAACTGTAATTATTGAGAGGATGGAAATGTTAACTGACCCTACCGTAATCATTTCATAATATACATATGTATCAAGTCACCATGTTGTTCACCTTAAACTTATACAATGTTGTATGACAAGTAAATCTCAATAAATTTGAAAAAAAAAGAGGCAAAAGGCCTGGGGTTGGGATTGGAAAAATTTTTATCTCCCTGAAAAAGCACTTACTCATCTTCCAATCAATTAAAGTTTTACCACTTAGGCAAAATCTAGGTATTTTTCCGTCCCCTAATCCAAACCAAAACAAGGCAGGGTTCCCTCCTCCATGCCCCCTCTGTACCCTTTGCATATTTTAATAGCAAAGTTAACTCATGTTACTAGCATCATGTATTTATTGGTTATATTTCCTTTCCACGACTCTGTGAGCAATTGAGAATAAGGATTTTGTCTCATTTATGCATGTGCCCCCATCATTTAGCATAGAGCCCACTGTATAAATGAATTCAGGTGGGCCTGTGCATGTGCACTTAGGAATACAGATATGGAGGTTCAAGAGGATAAAGAGCAAAGGTGTTATTATGCTCTATAGATTAGATTATGATTTAGGAGCCAATCAATGACTTTTTGGTTTTTAGGGCCATAGGAATGAATGGGAGAGCCCAGGGACAATATTTAGATGTGGAGGAGGATTTAAATAAGGGGAGGGGAGGAGAAATTAGCAAAGGACATTGAGAATTAGAAGCAAAAACAGTAGAGAGCAGTGTGGCAGAGCATAGGGAGAAAAAGCTGAGAAAGAAAGTGTGGTCATCCGTGTGAAGTGCCAATACACTCCCCAGAAGGTTAAAATCTTTGAAAGTGGGCACAAGTGTTCGCTGAAAATTAATGCATCAATATTAGGAAACTGGTTGGGTACGATAAAGACTGTGAACTTTATTTGGTGTCTACAGATTTGAAAACTCTATAGCATCGAAGTGGTATATGAATGATATTATTATACCTTTTATTTTCAAAGTTTTTCTTGTAGTCAAATTCTTGATCATGAGTCTGAATAGTTGTCACTGCTGTGTTTTTGGTGTTAATGATTTCTTTTCTTTGTTTCCTAACTAGAAGTCCTCTTGCAGCTGAAACATATAAGGCCCAGGGTAGGGTTAATCATAACAAATAAAAGACCGTTATTTAAATGAGTAGAAATGAGTGTTTTTTTGACCATCAATTTCAAAGAGGAAAATGAAATTAAAGATTCAAAATATAACAGGTTTATAAAAAAATATGGTATACATTAACAAGACTCAGATGATAAGCTATATAACAAGAAAATAGTTAAAGTACCTTTTGTATTAAGAGTATTAAGATGAAACAAATTATAGAAATGACTGAAATTAATAAAAAAAGACAAAGTATACTAATTTGCTTAAAACCTGCTAATAATTATTTTCCTTTTATTTTTACCATGTTAACCTATTCATGGGAGAAAGCCCCTATTACCTAAACATGTGTTTTGGATCTTTTGGCCAATTTTTCTTGGAGCTGATATTTTTTGTAATTCAGGTTTAATATTTTTTCTTTTTAAAGGAAGCTGAGTCATAGTAAGTAAAGCATTTTGCTGTGTATAATGCACACTTTTTTCCCCAAATTTTTGAGGGAAAAATAAGGATGTGCATTATACATGGGTAGTACTAATTCCATATCTACATAAATATTTTCAATTCTTTTATTTATGGTTAAGCATTAAAAGTGCAACTCCAGAAAGCAATGATCATACCTGTATGAAAAATAATACCCTAAAATTCGATGATAGGTTTCGTTTCTAAATATAAGTAAATGAAAAATTGAATTAAAAAATTAAAAGGAAAGATTTTTTCCTTGAAAGTTTGGGCTAAAAACATGGGTGCGCATTATATACAGCAAAATAAGGTAACATATTTTGTAACACTCCCCATGTCAGGGCAGCATTTCATAATCCAGCACTAACGTTTCTGTAGAATAACACGATATTTTTAAGTGGGATGAGTAAAGAACTGTAAAAATTAGGTCATATTTCACTTTCAAATGAATTATGAAAAATTTTTTCATCATTTTATAAATTTTGGAATTGTGGATAAAGAATTGGATCCCAAACTACTGGATTTGCATTTTCATGTCTCAGCGAGAAGTTGAGGGCCTAAAATTCCAAAAGAGATCACAGTGAGCCCTCATGGAGTAACAGAGTGAGGGCTGCAACACCAATCTCCTGAATGCTAGTTGTTCAGACCATCAGTCAGCGTTGCTCAGAACACAGGCTGCAAATCAATAGTGGACCTTAAAATTGATTTAGTGGGCTAAATCTGGAATCTAAAAATGAAATAAAATAAGCCAGAATAGAAAATGTCAGAGTGCATTGCTTGCAGTATGTGTGTGTATCAGGTTATAGAGTAAAATACACTTTTTACTATGGCTGTCCAGTCAAAAATTTTGGAAAGATACTGTACTAAGCCATAGCAGGTTCTAAATTTAGTTTCTTACAGGAGAATGAAAAGCAAAATCCAAAGTCTGTGAGTACATTTTAATAAAAAAATTTAAAATGTTTATAAACATTTTGTCCCTACAATTAACAGAAAGAATTGAATGTCATTTAAAATGAAATTTAATTAAGTTGTCAAAAAATACGGTAACTGTAACCCTTGGAATAAAGTAGAATAAATCTTACTGTTCAATGGGTTATCATAATATGAAGCTTGAGCTCTATAATTAATTCAATCCTTTGCCCTATCTTGCACAGTAGGTCAAATGTGTTTCAATAATACTTGACAGAAAATTTAAAATTAAATTATTTTATTTAAAACAAAAACATTTATTCAAATATTAAAAGTGTCAATCACTAAATCTGATTTAGATTCAGGATACAGAAAGCATCAAGGCAAGAGGCTCTGAAATTAAACACAGAAGCTGCGTAAGAATTGGAGGTTTGTATTTAATATTTGATTTTATGCCCATATCTAAACATAACATTATACTTTGTTACACTGTGAGATAGTCTGGTGGTTACCTGACTGTATTATTATAGCGCTCTCTTTCCTTTTCTCTTGTATTTTTTGGTACCTTCTTGAACCCAAGAATCCTCTGACACAGGCTTGAATCAAAATAAGCTTGTCAATGGCTTCCTTTCGCATTAAATTTAACTGTTCCACATGATAATATTTAAGAAACACCTTAAAAGAATTAAGATAAAATACAAATAAAACTAAGGCACACAGATGTGAAACAGTCACGTGCTATGCTTTGAAGAGTGGATTACATTCTAAACCTTTTTAGATTTTGGAGAGCACTATCTTATGCTTCTTTGGCCTCAGTGTTGCTCCAACATCATAGATTTATATGCTAGAAGAAAACCTCTCTTTAAGAAAAACTACAGTTGGAAAACCATACTGTTTATTTGGAGCAGGTAACTAGGTCTTGTTGAACGGCCTAATAAGCGCAGAGGATGGTGAGCTCTTGTATCAATTTTAGCATCGTATACTCTGAGCAAAGCTAATTTTTATGCTGTTATTTTTTTAAAGACAATTATATTTCCCTAATTTAAAAATCTTACATCTCTATTTGTAAGACAGAAAGCAATTATAGCAGTTCATTTATCCAATGTTTATTTGAGATCTATTATCCACTGGGGACGCAAAGGTGAACAAGGAGGCGCACTGCCTGTCAGGGGCTCTCCAGGGGTCAGCGGGGCGTGGGGGCAGAATGAACAACTCCCTCACCAGACCCCGCGGTCGGTCGTGGTCGTGGTCGCGGTCGCGGTCGCCCTGGAGGAAGGATGGCTGGCTTTGATCATTTTAAAATGAAAATGAATTCCAGCAAAAGGGGAGCCTGAGGCCTGGAGGTGTTCTCACCTAAGAGTATTCAACTCCCCCCAGGAAATAGGAAGATTTCTTTCCCCCTTCTTTTAATGGCTGCATTTACTAATTAATTCACCTCAAAGAGAGTTTACTGAATCCACTAAGAAAGTCACTTAAATTCAAATTAAACAGCTGAATCATGAGACCCGGTCACCCAGACTCTAAAATTCTCTCAAAATTCCGTTACTTGAAAGCTTGGCACCACAGGCAAGCAGTTTAGCTGTACATGTTTTGATTGAAGTTAGTTTTAATTTCTACAGGACTCTAGATATTAATATATTTGGTCCATTCTACTGTTGACAATTCATTTAAAATTCAATCTGTTTAAAAAGGTCATCTTTTTTTTGTGTGTGCAGCATTAGGAATGTTCCTATAGTGAATACTTTTATCCATCTTAATGAGTTGGAAAAGGTGAAGTGGAAAAATACAAATAGCTTTAATAGCTTTAAAATGTTACTCAAATATCATGCAGAACTGGAACTGCAAAGGGCCTTTTTACTAGTTAAAACTCCATTTGAAGTTATGCATGTGTTTCAGACCGTGAATCATGAGATTTCAGCCTGACAAAACTCATCTTTGTGAGCATCTAAAAGAAAAGAGTGTGAATGAAATACACTCTTTTTAGTGCTCAGAATTTTCCCTTACTAAATACTAAAGTAAATATAGCTTATTGAATATGTAGGACTCAGTCTAAGATGAACATTGAAACAAATCTCTTAAATTGTTACAGTAACATCTCATCTAAACATTATGAAGATTCCCACACCTCCCACCCCCAAGGGACAACTATACAAATTTCTCTGCAATCATGGAAGTTTGTTTCAGTCTGGGTCTATGGTATGGCTGACAGTGGTTATTCTTGAGTGGACAGTCCTTGAGTACTTCTTTTCTTTAGATTGGCTCTCTGATCTATCCTCCACCAGTGATACACTTATGTGCCCCAAAAGCCAGGTACTCTGTTTATCTCTTTATTCCCATCTTGAATGCCTGAGGGTATCTGCAAAACCCAATGCATTCTTTCTTTAAGAAGCCACCTGTCTTCCCTATTCAAAATGGGTTATGATTTTTTACTTCATTTTTTAAGGCATTAAATCACCTAAGATCTCACAGTCTCTCAAATATAAGACATAAGCATATCAATATCCAAACACATATAGTAAGTCTAATAATATTGATGAACATTTCATTCTGGATAAATTTCAAGTTTATAATAGAATATTTGAGAATTAGGAAAAAAAGAAAAACAGAATCCTATTTAGATCATGATTCTCTACAGCTTTTTGACTATATTTGGTGGTGATAAAATAGAGAAAATATATCAGTCTGTATCAACACTATTTGAACTGAAGTATAGTCACTATAAATTTCATCTTATTTTTGGATTTTTTTTCCTTGAGTTTCTTAAAAGAAACCTTTATAGAGCAAATTGTTTAATTTTGCTGAAGAAAACCTTTATGAATTTATCAATTTACTTCCCCTATGTTGAGCTAAGATTCTATAATCTAAAAAGCCATAATATTTTCACTGTAAAATATTATAATTCTTAGTAAATCTAACATAATTATTAATTTTTGTCTTGAAAATGATATGAAAACCTTACTTTTGTTTTTCCAAGAGCCCAGTTATCAAGACCAGCTTTTTCCAAAATGGTGGCGCAGGTGTCAGGGCTCACTGGGGGTTCCTCGCTCCACTTGTAGCAGAGAACATGGTACCTTCAAATGGGAGAACAGGCTGGTTAGTATTTCACAAAGGTCTAACATCTCAGAGCCTGGTGGACACTCAACAGCTCTGTGCAGGGGAGGGAAGAGACTCCCCAGATTTAACACAGTAGATCCCGTAGGAAAGAAAGCAGCAAGTTTTGGCAGGTTTTGAACGTCAGAACGGAGGCCATGCTGTGTAGAAGACTGTGGGAGCACAGTGAAGTGGAGGGTGCCCTACTGAGAGGCAGGAGAGCAGGGCTCTAATCTTGACTAGTTACCTGTATAAACTTGGGCATGTCATGGAACCTCTTTAAGTATCAACCTTCTTATCTAAATATGAGCCCATAGATAAAACCTCTAAAAATAACACATCCCAGCTCCACCAAGTTTCATTTCATTAACTCTTCAGATGAACCAGTTTCTGTTAGGCTCTTGGAGAATTCTGGCTTAGAATGGTCTAGAATGAAGTGATGGTCATAGCTTTTGCTGTCTGTGCAAAATATATCAGAAAGTGCCTATTAGCCTCCCATGCTTTAGCCCTGCTCACCTGAGGATTAAACTTTTGTTTTTTATCCTCACCCAAGGACATGCTTATTTTTTTTAGAGAGAGGGGAAGGGAAGGAGAGAAATATTGATGTGAGAGAGAAATATTGATCGGTTGCCTCTTGTAGGCACCCTGACAGGGGACTGAACCCTAGGTGTTTACCTTCATTGGGGAACGAACCTGTGACCTATCGCTTTATGGGAAAACATTCCAACTAGCTGAGCCACATTGGCCAGGGCTTTGAGATTAAACTTGCTCTCTCAGTCTACCAACCATCTCCTGGCTTCATTCCCTTCTAGATCCAGCCAGAGTCTTACAAGTCATCACATGAGTCACTCTAAGTGAACACCCTTGACTCTCTCACTCTTGTTTTGTTGCAAATGCTCTGCACACATGCAAACCAGGACTATCTGCTTCTCTGCTCTCATGTCAGGCTTCAGAGCACTGCCAGTGAAAAATCCCCATTTATTCATTGTGCACTCCCCTATGCACACATGGCCTCCTGGTTCAGCTGGGCCCACAAGGATGTTCAGGATCCTCATTGGTGTCCATGGCCATTTCCCTCACTCGATCCCCACAGAGCTATTTAATGTTTCCTGCACCCAACCAGCCCCCTACCTGTTCTGCCCTCTGAACCACTCTCAGCAGATAAGCTTGTCTACTGTTTTACTAGAAGCCACCGGGCACAAGCTCCACCGACTTCTTCCCCAACTACAAGCTCATTTGCCCACTATTGGTTCTTTCTTCCTACTTAAGAGGAGAAGATATTCATTCTCCACCTCCCTGTATTCTGGTTACTGTCTTTTTCTTCTCTTCTGTATATTTTCAGTTCTTTTTCTCTCTTCTAGCTCCTTCCATTTAGTACAGAACAAACCCCCTAAGTCTCTCTCATCTAAAATGATTCTATATCCCCCTGCTGATGTTATAGGTAACTTGAAAGATTGTTTAAAATTACTGTCTTCATTTCTCTACTTCCCAAAACTCCTCAGCTCCTGGAATCTTACTGAATCACACATAATCTTTTAGTAATTAAATCTAAAGTGTTGTTTTCCACCCTAATCCTAAGTATTTTTTCTGCAGCATTTGATATTGTAGACCACTCTCTGTCTCGAGAATGTCCCCAGGGTTTCCCGCCCACCTTGTCCGCCTGCGCTGCTTTCCCCTCAGCCTCCCTGACATGCTTCATCTTTAGACTGCTGCTGAAAAGCTAGTGTTCTACACTATTTCATTTCTTTCTACGCACTTTTCACAGATGTCTTGTTAAAGGCATGGTTGCAACTATTCCCTGTATGTGATACTTCCTAAATCTTTATCTTTAGACCTGTTTACATAAGCTCTGAACACATTACTTCTGACTTCCTGCTCTACATCTTCACCTGGTTATCCTACACACTCTTCAAACTGAGCAAAATGCACCACCTTTTCTTTCCTCTGCTAGTTCCCATCTCTGTGAATATCACCTCTTTTGAAAAGGTGCTAAAACTAGAAATCCGTGAGTCATCCTAGAGTCTTCCTTATTCTTCACTCAGTGTACCCAACAGCTGTAAAAGTCCCTCCGGAATCCATTTCTTTTTTTCTATTCCTACTGTCATTACTTTAAAGCTACACCTCGACGTCTGTAACTGTCTCCCCACTGGTCGTGTCCACCTTCACTCCCCTCTCCCCTCCCTAGGTCAACCTGTACAGCTCTGTCTGAATTACCTTAAAATGAAAATCTGATCATGCTCTTTCCTGACTTCAAAATCTTGGAGGATTTCCCACGTTCTAAGTTGTGATCGCAAAATCGGGTGCTTCCAAAAGCTGGGAGGTAACTTAAATATGAAGGCTGGGAAGCAGTGGAAATGAAGCCATTTAAAATTAAAATGAAAGCAGTCACTGAAAATTGGTTGCCACATATGATGACTAGTCTGAACATTCCTTCCTGCTCCGTTTCCCTGCCTGCCCTTCCAGCCCCATGTTTTACAATTTCCCATGGACATCTGGAGATCCAGTCATACCAATTATTTAAAATTATGCCAATTGGCCATGTTTGCTCATACCTCTATGCTTTTGTGCTTATTATTTCCTATGCCTGCATGTCCTTCCATCCTCACTCCTTATTCTCTTAAGGAAGACCAACTTCCAGTAGCCTAGGGACTCTTGTTAACCTGTTTTCAGTGAACAGACTGACTGGGTTCACGACATTCTTTTTCCCTGTGTGGGGCATGCCGACTGACGTCCGCTGAACTCCTGGAGCTCTTGCTCGTGTGCCTGTGTGCTCTGCTCTGCCAAGTGAGCTGGTTTACTGCCAAGTCTGTTTTGTCAGTTGCACTTGAGGACACATTAGTCAAATAATTATCAGGTAAATTTGTGAAATATGAGTGGGAAAAGCCAGAGAGCTGTTTATACAAAACTGTACTCAATGTGTTGGTAAGACTTCATAAAGAAGTGTTCTAAAAAACTATGGAATTAAACATGGATGAAGCTATTACAAAGGGTTGAGGAAAAACAGGAAAAATTCAGTCTTGTGATTGTTTTACAAGTATCTTTAACTTCTTGCTTCACTTCGAGAAATATTAGCTATGAATCATAAATAAGGGGTTCTGGATAGCTTATGTAAGAGTCAATTAACTCTGATTAGTGGACTTTTATCCAAAGAAAAAAATTAAACCTATTTCAAAAGATTGTAAAATGAATATATGCCCATGTTCTAAGTTAAAGTATGTATAGTATATATTTATACTTTTATAAATATTTATTTATAGTATATATTACTTTTATGATTCTCTGCTATAGCGGAACTTCTGCTATAATTTAAGAAGTCTTCCCCTTTCTTTACTTCCACCATCTCTACTTTATGCTGTCAGAGTGCCCTATGTACACCTATTGAAAATATCCACTATTCTTTCATTCATATAACAAGTATTTACTGAGTACCTACTATGTGCCAGGCACCTAGGTAAGTGATGGGGATGCAACAGTGAACACAGCGGACCGACAAACACCCTTGCCTCCTGGAGTTTATATTACATTGGATGATGATGGAGATAATTTGATCCCCGTGAGTTTCTTAACATCAGAGGCTTTTTTAGTAATCTTTTTTTCAATGACTGGAACATAGTGGATGCTCAATTAAATGCCTATTGAATGACTAATGAACTGTCTCTGGGATTTTGCTGTGCAAATAAACATCTATGTAGATCAGACAGATATTGCTCATAGAAAAACACCCAGACCGGTGTTTTGTTGTACCTCTTGGTTTAAAGACTTGTTTTAAAGCCAACATACTGACTTCTGCTTTGTTTTTTATGGATTAGCTTTGTGGTTTAAATTGTGGTATTTGGGACTACAGCATTATACATAAGTAATTTGGGGATCTTGGGGCTGAGGCAAAAATAATAATGAAAATAATTATAGCTAGTGTGTGTTGTTGGCAATTGGTTCTATCAATAAACTTTATATATATTATTTTATTTAATGCTTCTAACCACATATAAAGTTGAAATGATTACCGTCATTCTTATTTGCACATTAGAGCAACTTGTAGCTTTTAGAACTCAAGTAACTTTGAACAAGGTCACGTATTTAAGTGGAAGAACTGGGATTCAGACCTGAGTTTCCTGACTTCGAAGTTTATGTACTTACCTACTCCACTATACCATTGCCTGCCATAAGTTCTAGTTCTATTAGAACTCTGGGATGCAAACCACTGTGTATAGGTGCCTGGTGGGAAAATGGAGCTAACTTCAGCAGTTTATTAGTATAAGGGTTCACTTGAAATACCTATAGTAAAAACCCAGTGTCATGTGCAAAGCAAGTTCATGTTGTATACCTTCCCTTAAGATTATTCCTTTGCCACAAAATAGAAGTGTTCTTCTACCACAGAACAGACAAAGGGTCTGATGAATTCTGCATCATATGGGAAGATTAGTCAAAGGTTAAGGCAGGACAGAGGAGGTTCATTTAGTCCTATTTACACCTCCACAGGGCCTTTGCAAGTTGTTCTGCCTTCCTAAGAGTCTATGTCCATTTGGATGATAACTTTCAAATCGGTGACAGAGAAGAGGCTTGGTCTTTTATTTCTGGAACTTCCTCTATTCAGAACAACTTTTCACATGTTTTCTATATACTTAGTTTTCCCCTCTCCTCATTTATCATGTAGTAATTTGTTATTCTTTAATAGTACAGGACTTAAAAAATACATTTAAGAACTTATTCTCACTCTATCCTTCTAAACAAGCAACTGCCACTATAATTATCTTCAAGTTATTAACATCAAGGTTTAGTTCTCCTTATGGTCCATATTGTAAAACCATGGATAATTTTGAAAGAACTGGATTAGTCTGGCATTCAAGTCCGTATTTTTAACCTGATCAGTTTCCCCCATCCCCTCCCTCTTATCCTCTGTCAGTTCAGTAACACCCACTCTGCCAATCCAGTCTAATCCAAGCCCCTCTTGCTCTTGCACACCCTCCTCTAGCCTGGGAAAGCCCCTTCCTGTCTTTTCCACAAACCATGCCCTCCCTCTGGTCCCATTGGAGTCTTCTTTCTTGATGCTCTCTTAGCAGCTCTCCTGGAAATAATATTTCCCTCCCCTGTTTTCTTATACTGTGTGTTCCTTTCCCTTGGATCCTGGTATTTATCATCTTGCATTGCTTATTAACTTTCCATGCCCATGGCTCTGATAATTTTAACTGAGTTGTTATTTCTTGAAGATCAAGTCTGCACTTTTTTACAGTTTTAAAGTTTAATGTTTCCCATAGTGATTAGCATGGTGCCTTGTACATGAAAAAAAATTCCTAAAATATAAGGACACTTATATTAATGTTACTTATATTAATATTTAAGTGAGTTAAAGATCTACTCTTCTCCTAAAAATGAAAAGTATGACAACAGATCAAATTTTAACTTAAAACTTGAAACTTTTTTGCATCAAGCACTTGTGGGCTACCTGCTTTCATGTTCAGAATGAAAACTTTACCTACTGGTCAATAAGAAATGGCAGTATTTTTTTTATTTCTTAGTTTAGGATGTAAAGTTGTGTCTGCTATGTGAGGAGTGAAGTCAGTGATTAGATGCTGGCTCTACTTCTGAACTTTAAAACCTGAAATTTAAAAGTCTGTCTTAAACTACAATAAAGAATTTGCCAGTATAGAAGTCATCAAATTTGTGTAATTTTGCACTCTGTTATAACAAATTGGTAGGGTTTACTTTACTTCAAGGTGCTCCTAATAAATACCTTTCTTTTCTTTCCTAGTTTTCTAAAGAAAAGAATAATCAGGAGATACCATAAATTACTGGAAATATGAAAATCTATAAAAAGAAAAAGAATTTTCATTTCATTTAGTAAGAGTATTGGTTACCCCAAGTAAAATTATGCTTTACATAAGATAAGCCCATGTTTTGATTTGTTTTTTCCTGGAGCCGGGGGAGGAGTTAGAAATCATAGTTCCTTGTGCAATCACAAAATGTTGTTTTGCTCTTAAATACTAATGGATAACCTCTGAAAAAATTCAGAGAATGTTACATATGGAGAATTCCTCAAATGCTAGGTTTTATCTACAAATTTTAATAGAATTTGCTTTTAAAACTAAAACTTCATGTTTAATGGCTAATAGAAATCATAGATTTGGTACATATCAAAAACATGAGCAATTAAAATATTAAATATATAAGATACTTAATCTCTATATCACCACTAATGTATTATTTCATAAAATCTATTGAATCTATAGTTTAGTTCATTTTACATTAATCTCAAATATCAGAATGGACTCCTTATACCCTTTATGTCTCCTAAGTCACCTTTAGAGACATATCTCATTTGATTCTTATAACAATTCTATCAGGTAGTCATGGAATATTTATTAGGTGAGGAAGATGAGGTTTCTCAATCATTGTTTACATTTTAGGCTGGATAATTACTTGTTGCAGGGGGTTGTCCTGTGCATTTTCAGATGTTGAGCAGGATCCCTGGTCTCTATTCACTAGATGCCACCAGCTGTTTCCTCATTCCACCAGTTGTGACAACCCAAAGGGTCTCCAGGCATCAGCAAATGTCCTGTGAGGGCACAATCTGCCCTCACTGAGAACCACTGGCATAGGCCACGGTCACACAGCAAGTGGCAGAGCCAGGATGAGAACCGGATAGGAGCTCAGGCCTCTCCGCCATGCTGCCTGTGACCCGTACCCTGTGCTGCCACACAGGACCTCCCAGCTGCCACGAGAGACTTCCAGCTCCTGTTCATGGTTACCTTCTCTTTCAACACACAATCCGTAGCATGAACAAAATGCTTCCTCTCAAGAACACCTAAGTAATTGTTTCTTATTGTTTCCTATAATTCTTCTGAAGAGTTTTGATATAAATTACCCACGGAAACTTAAAAAGGAATCGACGTACCGCTTTATAAAGTTAGCAAAAAGTATCCGATGTGAGTATCCTAGCCTTCGAATTCTTGCTGTTTCCAGAATTCCTGTGTAGCGAAGCTGTAGCAGAACTTTGTCTTTGTCGTATTTTCTTGCCTGACGTTCATTATTTGGTTTGATGCAACGAACAAAATGAGGTTGGCCCACCACCATTTTAGATAACAAATCCATCAGGGAATACTATAATATGCAACAAAAATAAATTTCCCAATATAGCATACAAAAGCTTATGAGCTTGTGGGTCTTTTTATTAGAAGGAAGAAAAACTAAAAACTGAATATTACACATGCTTGTACTAATTCACAGTAAATGGAGGGAATGTTATATTAATGACAATTTTATATACAGTATTTTTTAAAGACAGATTTACTCATAAAAATGTAGAGATAATAACTAGGAACTTAGTTATTTAAAATTTGCCTGTAACTTCTAAAGGCAACTTTAATTAATAGATAACATTATTTTTGAGATAGCTTGTAAGTAATTATATGCTTTCAGGGAAACTGGCCAAATTACAATATTTAGGCACACAATCTAGTTTCCTGCTTATACTACCAATTTCCTTATCTAGCTCTTTCTTTATAGAAAGAATTAAACACTTTAATCCCTGTCAGAATCATCCCCTACTTTAAAATAAGGACTGAGAAGTTAATACAGTTTAATATACAGAACATAGTTATAAAAATAAGCAAATCCATGTAAGTTCTCTAGTCTGCTCTAGTTTGATAATTTTCTTATTTATTTTAGATTTTTAAAAATCTTACAAATGGGGAAACTCTGCTATGCAGCAATACCTTATTAAAGCAGCAGCCAGTTTGCTAAGTATAATAAACTAGTAGCCAAATTAAGTAAGTATATAACATAGTAAGATAATTATGGTTCAATTAAAAGTGGAATCCCACTTGAGGGTGGGAGGCAGGGGGTAGGTGGGGCGGGGGAAAATGGTGGCAAAGGAAAAAAATGTATAAGCTTCAAAAAAAAAATTATAAAAAATGTGAAATCCCAGAAAACTAGCATGTTAGAGACCAGGATTACAGGTAGTTGGCCTGGGAATGAATGTGTGGACATTGATAGCTGATGATGGCTGGATCTCTTTCAGTGCTGGGAATATAAAAGCCTACAGTTACAAGGCAGAGAAAACCTAATGCTGGCCTTGGGTCACTGACACAGCATTGGCTTCGCATGGCTTCCTCTCAGGCACCGAGACTCAGATGTGATCTTCATTAAATGGCTGGGTCTGTTATTTTGGAGCTCTTTTTCATTACATTTATCAGTGAGTCATCATCCCTCTAGTCATGCAAACACCTGCCAGGCAGTGAGGATACAAAGGTGACAGACACGTCTGTTGGTAAGCTGGGCAGGAGCTTCCTGCAGTTTAGGCATTGGTTTTCTTTAGGGACCAGGCAGCGGTTACTCTATGTACATTATTTTGAGGTTTTCACCTTATCTGTGTGCAGCAAGATATGGAATGGGAATGAATGCTCAACCTTGTCCTGTCTGTCTATCCTAAAATTATTCAGAAGTAGGAATGAGCACTGATAGTTCACAGAGCATCAGATTAAAAGCCCTTCTAAGTTTTATTCAGGTAGAAATGCATTCGGTTCAAATGACACATTTTAACCCAGGTATAGGCCTTCATTAAATGGACCTAGTATACAGTAATTTTCCAGATTTTTGAGTGTATACTCTAATACATCCTATATCTAAAAAATAGTAATTAAAATACAATAAAAATTCTTTTTTGCTTATAGCACACTATATTACTAGCTTTTGATCTGTCACGCTCATTTAGAATAAATAACATCCCTAAGCATAGCACATCGTAATTTAATATCTTACTCTAAAATATGATGCAACTGTTTGTGTCTTCATGTTGGTCGTCTCTCTGGCATGACATGTGGTTTCTCCAGTTTCACCCTAAGAAGACCAAAGGAGATAGTGATGCCTCAGTACTGATTGTGCTTTATGATCCACAGGGAGCACATGGAATTTTCCTTTGGGTTATCATAGTCTATGCATTCAAATATATAAGACAACAAAATGTCACTGATGTTTTTACTTTAAGGTAATTGTTTTTTTCTTTTTTTATTATATTTCATTGATTATTCTATTACAGTTGTCCCAATTTTACTCCTTTTTCCCCTCTCCAGCAAGTACCGCCACTCCCTCAGAAAATCACTACACTATTATTCATGTCCATGAGTCATGAATATAGGTTCTTTGGCTACTCCATTTCCTATACTGTAATTAACATCCCCATGGCTATTCTGTAACTACCTACTTGTACTTCTTAATTCCCTCACCTCTTCACCCATTTCCCCACAACCTCCTCTCATATGACAACCATCAAAATGCTCTCTGCATCCACCCATAACTCTGTTTCTGTTCTTGTTTGCTTAGTTTGTGTTTTAGATCCAATTGTTGACAGATATGTATTTATTGCCATTTTATTCTTCATAGCTTTGATCTTCTTTTTCTTAAATAAGTCCCTTTAACGTTTCATATAATAATGGTTTGGTGATGATGAACTCCTTTGGTTTTTTCTTGTCTGGGAATCTCTTTATCTGCTATTCGATTCTATATGATATCTTTGCTAAAGCAATCTTGGCTGTAGGTCCCTGCTTTTCATGACTTTGACTATTTCTTGCCAATTCATTCTAGCCTGCAAGGTTTCTTTTGAGAAATCAGCTGACAGTCTTATGAAAACTCATCTATAGGTTACTAACTGCTTTTCTCTTGATGCTTTCAAGATTCTCTCTTTATTTTTAACTTTTGGCATTTTAATTATGATGTGTCTTGGAGTGGGCATCTTTGCATATCCATCTTGTTTGGGACTCTCTGTGCTACCTAGAATTGCATGTCTATTTCCTTCACCAAATTAGGGAAGTTTTCTTTCATTATTTTTCCAAATAGAGTTCTAATTTCTTGCTCTTTCTCTTCTTCTTCTGGCACCCCTATGATGTAAATGTTGGACTGCTTGAGGTTGTCCCAAGGCTGTTTATACTATCCTCAATTTTTTGGATTCTTTTTTTTCTGCTTGTTGTTCTGATTGGTTGTTTTTTGCTTCATTATGTTCCAAATCATTGACTTGATTCTCAGCTTCATCCACTCTACTGTTGTTTCCCTGTAAATTGTTCTTTATTTTAATTAATGTATTCTCCATGTCTGACTGGATCTTTTTTATGCTTTTGAGCTCCTTGCTAAGTTCCTTGAGCATCCTTATAACCAGTGTTTGAACTCTGCATATGGTAGATTGCTTATCTCCATTTCATTTAGCTATTTTTCTGGAGTTTTGATCTGTTCCTTCATTTGGGCCATGTTTCTTTGCCTCATTACTTTGACAGCCTCCCTGTGTTTCTTTCTATGTATTAGTTTGAGCTGCTTTGACTATGTCTTGGTAGTGTGCCCAAATGTAATAGGTGTCCTGTAGGGTCCAATGGTACACCCTCCCCTATAACCCAAGTTGGGTACTCAAGGTGCACCCTCCATATGGGCTGAGTACACTCTCCTCTTGTAGTTGAGCCTTGTTTGATGTTGTCAGGTCAATGGGAGTGTTTTACCTAGGCCAGTCAGCTGCACGGACTGGCTGTAACCACTGACCACCAACCTCTGCCCTCCATGGAAGGTGAGCTATGCAGATGCAGGGTTGTGGTGCTTTGATGTAGTCTATAGCCATGCACTGGGTGAACAAGCTCTGGGGTTTCCTGTGTAATTCAGACCAACGTCAGCCATTACCTGCCCAGGTTCTGCCCTGGTTCTGCCCAGGGCCAACCTACATGAGCTATAAAGCAATATAAGATGGCTGCTACATTCACTGGGCTTGGAGATTCCCAGGTGAAGCCATGCTGTGAATCTAAGCTGGCTGCTGCTAGTGCAAGGCCTGGAACCACTTAGCAGGGGGATGGGTGCTGGGGGCTCACTGAGGCCAGCTGTTGCTTAAGAGGATTTAGGAAGTTGTGAAGCATGAGCCTAGACTAAGCATTCATATAGAAAAGTTAGTGTTAACAGCTTTGGTGTGCCCATAATTGGGCAGGATGGAGTCTCAGGGGATCTCCAGGGTAGAGCAAACAGCGTTAGCCACCTTGATGGTGTCTCAAATATGGCACCCACCTACCAACTCTCTGACTCTGTGATGTGAGGATTTAGAAAAGGAACAATGGCCTCTGCCCATTTTTCTGTCTGGGAGAAAGCTGTCCCCCCTGCTCTCACCTTAATCCCAGACACTTCAGTTCCTCCTTGTATGCCACTGGTTCCTTTCAGGCTGCTACACCAGTGTTAGAGCTCAGAGGGGTTGAGTCTGAGTAAGTCTCTGTGTGGTTTCTTTAAGAACTGCTTGGGATTCCAGAAACTTCTTCCACCAACTTACTCCCCACTGGTTTTTCCAGCCAGAGTTATGGGGACTTATCTTTATGGCACTGGAACCCTGGCCTGGGGGGTCCAATGTGGGACTGGGACTCCTCACTCCTGAGATATCCCTCCTGAATTTGTATCTAATACACAGGGATGTGGGACCGGCCTGTTCCGCGTCTCTGCCCCTCCTACCAGTCTGGATGGATGTGGTTTCTTTAATTCCAACTTGTCAGTCTTCTATTCAACTTCATTTCTGATGGTTCTGAATGATGGTTGTTCTAAATTTAGTTGTAATTTTGATGTGGTTGTTTGAGGAGGGGAGCCACGTTTACCTATGCCACCATCTTGACCAGGAGTCATAAGGTAATTGTTCACAGTCTTATTGGAACTTGGGTTGGTCATGGACAGAATGTGGATATCTCTGACCTTAGCTAATACATATTTAGTTTGTCTTAGTGTAACATTAAAACTAGTTATAAACGAAGAGTTAAGAATATATCAGAAATGCATGATTATTTTAGTGTCTAGCAGTAATACAAACATAGCATAAATATCTGTTTAAGCATCAAACAAGATCAAAGAGAGGAAAATGAAGGAAAAGACTTTACTTTTAGAAGCACACAAACATTGCCATTGTAAACGATTCTTAAAAATGCTTTTTCTTACCTTTGTCAGGTTGATTGATTTTTCTGAAATTCTCATTTGATAGTTTATGATATTTTTAGTTTTTGAATGTGGCAGGTTACCTATTGGAATTTAGATAAAAATAATATATTTTTTAGAATCCTAATGACTAGAACATTTTCCCCATTTACTTAAATATTAAAATAAGCATTAAGTCTGAATAACCAAAATATTCAGACTTAAATAGTTAGTTAACTATTTATTAAGAAACTTAAAGATAAAATAATATTATGTAAAAATTTATAACAAAATTTTAATTCAGAAAACAAATCCAGTTTAGAGAATGGAAAGAGACATCTGAGATTTTTTTTAACACAAAGACAAACTACACAACTGGCCTAAAAAAAATCATGTCGATCATTAATTCTTATGAAGTGGTTATAGTGAATCAAATGTGGTTGAGAGTATTGGACAATTTCAAGCTAATATTCAGAAATTTGTGCTTGGTGTGAGGGCTATGTAAATATTTACAACTAAAGGCCATGAAGAAATGATGGTGTAGGGAAAAAATAATGACCTTGGAAGCCAGGAAGACCTGGGTTTGAATACCAGCTGTGGTACTTAAATTGTGTTACCAGTGGGTTATTGGCTTCAGCCTATGAGTTGTAGTTCAGATCCATAAGATGGAGAAAACGATGCCTACCTCACAGAATTTTGATGAAATGTGATAGTATGTCTGTCACATGGTAGGCACTCGCAAAAGTTAGTTCACTTTTACTCTTTCCCCGCCCCTCAACAAGAACGATGAAACAACCACCCACAATCTAAGAGTTTATCATCCTTACAGTAATGTTCAAAATATATGCAGAATTGGGTATCACTTTAGAAAGATAATTTCTCCTCACTCTCATCCTCTTAGGGGATAAACAGAAACTAGATGTTTTTGGCAAATCCTTCACATGCTTTGTGGTTGAGCAGGTGGCTCTGAGATGATGGTGGGGAAGGAACCCTGCCTGGGGGTGAGCCGCAGTGCTCGGCTCTGTTCGCGCCCCCACCCTCCCTGCTGAGATGAGTGTTCGCAGCGGCTTTCGTGCTGGGCTCCAACTGCACACTGCACTGGTCACTCTTCAAACGTGAAGCTTAGTGAATACAGCAAGGTGGAGAGAGACAGGAACAGATGAGCTCCAGACAAGCACTTTGGGACTTTCTATTATTATTTATTACTATTATTATTAGGATTACCAGGGAGTTTTAGGAAAAAATTACCACAGACTGGGAGATTTCTTAGAAGAATGATGAATATACAAAAGTGCTAGTAGCATGTTAATTAGGATAGACTCATTACTTAATAGATACTATTACTTAGTATTACCCAAAAAAAAGCTAAAATTTTAAGTTTATCTGAAAACTAAAAAGTTATACAAAATTTAGTAAAGGATTAATAATTTCATGTAAACAAAGTGTATATATTAGTCATCAAATCATTTAACAAAAAATAAATGAAAGTCTTAAAAACTCACCTATGCATGAAAACTATGTAGGAACTAAAATTAGCATCAATCTTGATTTTAGAAAATATATCCAGCTTGCTTTTATAGTTGACATGATGAACAAATTTATTATAAACCAAACTGGAGATGTGAGCTGCAAGGAACTGGACTGCATTTCCCCCTAATAATGGCTGAACTCTTTCATATTTGAACTCATACATGCAAAAGGCCACATCCTATTTTAGAATCTCAGAGACAACATAAATAGAGGATTGAAGAACCTGGATTTTCAAGCCTGTTTCCGTGGGGTAACAGTGGAAAAGCTGCCCAGCATTTCCAAGCCTCAATGTCTCATCTGTAAAAGTAGTTCCTCCCCAGAGTGTTATTAGGAGTAAATGAAAGTATTTGGCATAGTGCCTAGCACAGTGCACTTTTTAAACACATTTATCGATTATTTTTGTTGTTGTTATTATTATATGTTTGCACATCTAAGTGAATAAAAAGCCCATATGCTTTTGATAGCATTGAGGTTCTGAGTTCCTGAAACACCTTTTGACTATGAAGTTCTTCTCTTCAACTAGAGAACTAACTGTTCTGGTGATAGTCTGGAGGCATACGTAGTATTAAGAACCTGGTTGCATATTTTATATGGGTGAAAAACTTGAAGTTAGATGCACAGATATTGTGGGTAGATATAGAAAGAGACAGCAATTGTAAAACTCAAAACTGAAGACTTTGGCTTCTGGGCAAGATAAAGTAACGCAGACTAGATTAACTGAACCAACTAAAAATAATACAAAATATATGAACAGTTTTTCTTTCTTTTCCATTTTTTTTAATCCTCACCCCAGGATATGTTTATTGATTTTAAAGAGAGAGGAAAGGAGAAAGAGAAACATCAGTCTGAGAGAGAAACATCAATTGGTTGCCTCCCATACGCTCTCTAACCAGAGATTGAACCCGCAACCTAGCTACATGCCCTGACTGGGTTTGAACTCACAACCTTTTGGGGTATAGGCCGACACTCCAACCAACTGAGCCACCCATACAGAGCAGGCATCTAACCATTTTAAACTGTACATATAGTTCAGTGTTATTAAATACATTTTTAATGTTGCACAACCATCACTGCCATCCATCTCCAAAGCACTTTTCATGTATTAAAACTGAAACTCTGTACATATTCAATACTAACTTCCCAATCCCTCATCCTCCAACCCCAGACAACCATAATTCTGCTTTCTCTCCCTAAGAGTTTGACTATCTCATTTGGGTGGAATCATGCAATATTTGCCTAGGAGAAGCTGTTTTAATGCATTGGGAATAGAGCAGCGCAGGACAGTGACCTCTGACAGAGGGAAAATAAGGGAAGCGAGCCCTGTGATTCCCCCAGCTTTCTCTGCTGAAGAGGTTTTAAGCTGGAATGCAGAGAGGGAAACCCAGGTAAAGCCTGGGGAAAAGAACAGATGTGACCAATAGAAAACAAATAGCAAGATGGTAGAGTCAATCCAAACATATCATTGATCACATTGAATGTAAATGTTTGGATCACCACAATTAAAAGTCAGAGGTTTTCAGACTGGGTTTTAAAAAGCCAGGTCCAAATATATGTTATCTACAAAAAACCCAATTTAAATATAAACACAAAAATAAATTGAAATTAAATGTATAAAAAATGCCATTCAACCACTAATCATAAGAAAGTTGGAGTCTCCCTATCATTATTAGGCAAAGTAGATTACAAAACAAAGAATATTTCCAGAGCTAAAGGGGTCATTTAATAACAATAAAGGGGTCGATTCATCAAGAAGACAAAAACAATTCTAAATTTCTATGCACCCAGTAGTAGACCTTAAAAATACATGAAGCAAAAATGATTACAATGAAAGGAAAAATCAATAAATTGACAATTGTAGTCAGATATTTCAAAACCCCTGTCTCAGTAATTGATAGAGCCAGGAGAAAACCAGTAAGAATACAGAAGACTTGGCCAATATTACCAAACAAGTGACCTAATTGACATAGAATACTCCACTTAACAACAGCAGAATATACATATTTTCAAGTGTAAATGAAACATAAAACAAGATAGAACATATCCTGAGCTATAAAAATGTTTCAATAAAATTAAACCATACAATATATGTTTTCTGACCATTACTGAATTAAATTAGAAGTCCATAACAAAAAGATATCTGGAAAATCCCAACATATTTTGAAATTAAATATAAGACTTGTAAATAACCCATATTAGTGCCATATATTAGAAAAGAAGAAACATTTTCTGTAATCACTGACCCAGGCTTTCACCTTAGAAATTAGGGGAAAAAACAAAATACCCAAAGTAAATAGAAGAAAGCAAGCAATCAAGATAGAAGCAAAAAAAACCCCCCAAAACCCACAAAAACCCTACAAATAGAAAGCAAAAGCAATAGAGCATATCAAGGAAACCATAAGCTGATTCTTTAAGAATATCACTAAAATTGATGTCTCTAGAAAATCTATCAAGAATAAAATTAGAGGGGGCACACATTATCAATAATATCAGGAATGAGAGAGCTGATATAACTTTAAGATCTACAGATAATAAAAAGATAATAAGTAAATAATATAATCAACTTTATGTCAATAAATCTGACTATACAGATGAAATTGATAAATTTCTTAAAAGACACAACCTACCAAAGTTTATTGAATTAGATAAGTTAAATATACTAATATTTATTAAAGAAATTGAATTTGTCATTAACAACCTTCTCACAAAAAGCCCTTTAGGCCCAGATGGCTTCAGAGGTGAATCATACAAAGCAGTTTAGAAAAATAATACTAATTTTACTTTTCCTGAAAATCGAAGAGGAGGCACTATATCTCAATACCTTCTATGAGGTCAGTATTACGCTGATTCCAAAATCAGGAAAAATAATTAGAAGAAAAGAAAACTACAGTCTAATATCCATGAATATAGATACAGAAATTCTTTAAAAAATGTTAGCAAATTGAATCACGTAATACATTAAACATCCAATACATCATGACCATGTCTGGCTTTTCTGAGGAATAAAAAGTTGGCATAACATTAAAAAAGTAATCAATGTAACTGACCATATTTCTAGATTAAAAAAATAAACAAATAAAATATATGCAGAAAAAGAATTTGACAAAATTCAAACATGTATGTCTGATAAAAATTCAGCAAAGTAAGACTAGAAACTGATTTATTCTTCTTGGTAAAGAACATCATACTTAATGGGGAAAAACTGAATGCTTTCACCCAAAGATCGGGAATTAAGCAAGAATATTGTTTCTTGCCTATTTTATTGAATATTGCATTGGTGATTCTAGCCAGTGCAACCAGGCAAGATGAAGAAATAAAAAGTAAACAGAAGGAAAAATAGGGAAACCTTTTTATTTATAAATGACATGACATGTAGAACATCCTTCAGAAATTACCAAAAAAGAAAAAAAACCTCTCTAATAAATGAGTTAAGCGGCATTGCAGGGCAAAAGATTAATGCACAAAAATTAATTAAATTTCTATGTACTAGCAACACTCAGAACTTGCATTTAAATTACCATTTATAATAGCTTAAAATGTGACATACTAGCAGATAATTTGACAAAAGATATGCAAGACTTATACAATGAAAACTACAAAATATTACTGAGAGAAATTAAGGAAGACTTAAATGGAGAGCTATATCATGCTTCCTGCTTGGAAGACCCAATATTGTGGTGATATCATTTCTTCTAAAATTAATCTAATAGCTTCAGTGTATTCCAATCAAAGTCTCACCAGGACTTTTGGTAGAAGTTGACAAACTTACTCTAAAACTTATGCGGAAAAGCAAAGGTATTACAATCACCCAAACTCTGAAAAAACACAAAGTTGGGTAACACACTTCAGATTTCAAGGTTTTTTTTAAATTACTATAATCAATAAGTACGGTATTGGCAGAAAGAGACAAATATCAGTAACACAGTAGAGAGCCTAAAAATAGACCTATACATATAGAGTCAATTGCAAAAGAAATTCCGTGATGGAATGAACACCTTTCCAACAAATGCTAGAACAGTTGGTTAGAGATGCAGAGGAGTAAGGGGAAGAATTACAGAGGGTCATGAAGAAACATCATTTAGGGGTGATGAATAGGTTCATTATTGATTGCAGTGATGGTTTTACAAGTGTTTATGTATGTCGACACTCATCAAATTTTATTGTCTAAATATATGTTGTTTGTCAGCTGTACCTCAATAAAACTATAAAAAATACAGAGAACAATTTTAAACTCCAGTAATGAAAAACAACCCCAAACTACATTTTTTCCCTACTTAAAAGCAAATCCCAGAATATATATAGTTGAATGGGGTTGTTTTAATAAATAAGAGAGTTTTTAATAAATAAGACAGAGCTCACTAAACCAAATGCTACCCACTCTGAAATAGCAGGCAATTCTGAACTCTCTGGAAGGGAGTATATTCTTCTAGTAAGTAGCTAGGATACCACTTTCCTTCATGAAAACCTGCCTTCTTTATGTTTTATTATTTTCCTCAAATGATCTAGGCAGAGGACATTAATAATTGTATATTTAATGAGCTGAAAACAAACCAACATAAAAAAAAACTGAGGATTATACTCATGAAAATGACAATCAGACACTATTTGATCAGGCCTGAAAAACCTTTTCGTTTAAAGGAAACTGTCTGAGCTTACCTGTTTTTGTCAGAGGGTGGTTGACTAGTTGTCGGATTACACTGTTTTCTGATGACCTCAAAAGCAGCACAATATCAGTTGGAAGAGTGTCTCTATTTTTAGCCAAGAACCCACTTGCATTATAGAGGACCTATTGATAAAGTATGTTATCGTCATCACAATCAGTGTCACTGTCACATCATCATCATCGTCATCATCAATAGATACCTATTGAGAGCTTACTCTGTGCCGAGTGACAGGTATACAAAGATTTATAAAGGTAGTCCCTTATAACCTGGTTGGAGAAGCAAACCTCTTCAAGTGTACAGTAAATCTTGTCAGAGAAAGATTCGTCTCACTGATTTTATCTGGGTTGAAATGAAAAGAGAAGTTTGATTCCTCCCATTTATTTTGCTGGAAATTTTGTGCATTTCCGGAGAGCTGGGGATGGCCTGAAGGAAGCACACGGGGGCTGCCCAGGCGTTCTCATTTCCTAGTAATTGATTCACTGCAGTCAACTGGCCATTATAGACTTTTGTCTCCATACTAGTGTGGTCCAAGTCCACTGTGGGTGCTTACATTTCTGGCACCACTAAATAATTTTAAGATTTTCTAAGGAGCAATGTAACTCAAAGACTTCTGTAAGATGGTTGTTGTTATGAAATGAATTGTATTCCTCTAGAATTTTATGTTGAATCCCTAACCTCTAATGTGACTATTTAGACAGAGGCTCTTTAAGCAGATAATAAAGGTAAAACGATGTCATGAGGGTGGGGTCCTAACCCCATAGGACTGATGTCCTTACAAGATGAGGAAGATACATCAGGGATCTGCCTCTCTCTCCCCTCACTTGTACACAGAGAAAAGGACATATGGGAGGACACAGCAGAAAGACCATTGTCTGCAAGCCAGAAAGAGGGGTCTCGCCAGACACTAGCCCTGCTGGACACTTGATCTTGTGCTTGAAATCTCCAGAACTATGAAAAAATAAATTTCTTTTTTTGAAGCCCCCCTGCCTGTGGTATTTTTGTTATTATGGCAGCCCTAGCAGACTGATACAGTTATTAAAGAAATAAAATGATCATAGGCAGTTGTTAATGGCAATTTTAAAAGAGGTTTATTTTTAAAAAATCAGATGCTAAAAATCACCAGAGAGGCTATTCCTATAATATTGAGATTTCTTTTTTGGTAACAAGTCTGTGGAATATTGAAGTTTGTGAAATGCAGTTCTAGTAAACTAAAGTGGTCAGTGTTCTGCATTATTTTATTTTGCTTATGCATTTTAATTTATTGCATTCTTTCTTGATTTTAATATCTTCTTAGTCTTCCAATACTTATCATTGTGAGGGAATGACCTGTTATTCTCTGCAGAAGAGAAGGAAAATGTCCTGTGGGTGCCGAGGTTTGCTCTGGTGTGGGAATGTGTATCTGTCGATGCATAAACATTTCTTTCTCTAACTGTGCACCATTCCATTAGCCAACTTCATCTACCTGGGTTGCCTCAGCTATCTGACCATACCTGCAGCCTGGCACCTTCTCCTGTTGGGAGGGAGGGGAGACCAAAGCTGCAGTGAAGAGAAAAGCACTTAATATCTAAAACAACATGGTTCATGATAGACGTTCCCAGCTATCACTGAAAGAAGGAAAAAGTAGGTACTCATTGCTAGCCAGTCTCACCCAAAGCCAGATGTCAGCATCAGAAAGATGGGCTGCTCAAGTCATGTCTCTTTCTTTTCCTTCTGGTTTTCCCTTAGCTTCTTAATAAAAATTCCTCTAGAAAAGTTATGACCTTGTGTTTGCTGAACTAAGAGAAGGATTCCTTCCTTCCTTTTTTTTTTCTTTTCCTTTTGAAGAAAGATGCTAGAGTGGTTGCCTACGGGTGGGAGTGGCTGCGGGACAGGACAGACTGCAGGAACCTGGAGAGCAGAGCAGGGCCAGACAGGGGCGGAAACAGGTGGCTGACTCGCTACAATCTTCTATATATATTTTGGGTCATCATTTTTACGTCTACCCTTATTATTGAACAACAGACTAAAGAGAAACTCATCCATAATTATTCAAAGTTCTTACCTTTCCTGCAAAATGGTGAACTCCAAAACTAAGTTCCATTCTTTTGGGCCTCCAGAAATACTGCGATTTCAGGTTATCTTCAAATTTTTCTATAGGAAAAGAAAGAACTCCAATGTCAATCATTCAGGAGATCCTCAAGAAACACAGATTGACAGAATCATCTCTTTCTCAGTCAAGTGGGCAATGTGCAGTACAAGAAAATTTTACATAGCTAATATATGCAGATATGGAATATAATTATAAATGGTAAGGCAAAACTCAAAATCATGAATTCTACCATTCCATTATAACTCAGAGCAGTAGTTCTCAAACCTTAGCAAAGATCAGAGTTTCCAGAAGGGCCTATTAAAACACAGATCACCAGGGCCTGCCCCCAGGATTCCCCACTTAGTCCACCTGGGATGGATGGGCTCCAAGGAGTCACAAGTCTGGCAATGTCCCAGGAAATGCTAACGTTCCTTGTCTGGGGCTCACACTTGGAGAAGCGCTGGTACAGGGGAGGGGAACTACCGGAGATCGACTAATCAAAGAGGTTTGTGAAACAGAGACTGAAGCAAAGCCATGCACCTAGAAACTGAGTGTTTTGTCTTTCCTTTCTAGTTTGTCTGTTATTACTGACCACATGGGAAACACAATAGGATCATAAAACAGTTGCTTTTCTATAACAATTTTACCACCTTCAGAGAACTTGTCACTTTGTGTTCCAGAAGGAACATTTTAACATCAAAATGAAATCAAGTGACTGCTATGAAATGATTTTCCCACAATATTGAGTTTATTTTATTTTCCATCAGTATTATACAATTAGAGGAGAGAATAAATCCATCAGTGAGTAAGAAGGAAACAACATCACTGACTTAATGGTAAGAAACAGACTGATATATCACCAAAAGTAAATGAAAGAAAATGTGAATCCAAATTTTTTTGCAAGTACTAACTATACATAATGAATATCTCCTTGCATCAGGGAATATAGTATTCTACATTTAAAATTATTTTTTTCAGACAGCTGAAAAAATCTAAAATTTTCAAAAAAACTTTAAGGCATAAGACATTTATTTTAAGTGTTTTAGATGATAATCTTTTAAATATTGTACATATACCTCTGTCTTCTCAAACAGAAAAAATCAATGTTTAATATTTTTGATGACTCAGGATTATTATCATAAACATTTATTAATGAACTGTAACTTAGAGATTACTAAGGTATTTGAGGCTAGTTGCCTCTAGCAGATAAATGAGTAGAATATCAAAGATGAATTTACTTCCTCCCTATTAGCTCTTTTCAAATTCTAGAACTATCCTTTTGTCTTGTCCTCTAATTTCTAATTTTAGGCTGGATAATTTCTAAGGTCATTTCTGACATAAGATCTTATGGTTGGGGGTCTGCCATAAAGTAAGGAGAAATCCAATGTCTAAACTTTTTTAATTTGTCATGAAATATTTCACCCTATTATAAACATTCACTGGTCCAGGTAGTAGATCCAAAGCCTTTTCTTTTAAGTCTGATATGCAGGTTTTGTGACAGGAATTTTCTTCCAAATAATTAAAAATTTATTTTATAACCATTCAGAATTAGGTGACTGTATCAAAAAATGATGTAGACATACTAAATTTAATACTCACCAATAAGAGTCTGGTCAGTGGCTTTGGGAAATCTACTTTCTTCATCAAGTAGAGATAGTAAACCCATTGGCTTCTGCAGAAACATATCTAGGAGGGGCCGGTTATCTTCATATTCAATAACTCTGGCATCAATATCCTCATTTACATATTCATTCTATAACAGGACATGACACAGAAAAATTCACTTTACAAATTCACTTACAACTTTGTGAATAATGTGTAGTTTTATAGTAATGACCTAAAACCCTACTTCGCACATGTTATAATAAATCACTCCCTCTGACCTTACCCTTAACCTGAGGATATCATTGTATTTTTCTCTCCCCAGAAATGTTAGTTCATTATAGTCAGCACTGATTCTACTCTGGATAGTAATGAAAAGTTTCCAGTCTCTATACTAGAATTACAGACATGTTAAGACTTCAGAATGCAAGGGAATATGTTGTTGATGAGCAGTAATAAATTTATGTTTCAGAATTTATAGAACATTAATTAGGTATATTTTAGGGTTACACTTCCCCCAAAGTAAGCCTTTTATCTAGTTCCAGATGTGAATCTCTCCAAACATTTACATAATATTTCAGTCGAATAACATGTACACTGTTAGTAGAGTGGACAGCTGTGGGTCACAGGAACAACCAATGGATTATAACAAGAACAAACAGGTTCATATCTGGGATCTGCCACTTAACTAGCTGTGTCATCCTTTGGAATTTTCACACTCTCTAAGCTTCCATTTTCTCATCTACTTAGTAGAGCTCATGATTTTCATCTAACAAAATAAAAATATCTGGTACATTAATAATAATTTTCTGTAGAGTATATTATAAGATGTATACAGTAAAAAACAATGAACAACAATTACTGTACAATCATGCTTCCAGAACAACATAGGTGTTGATGATCTATTTTCCAAAAGGGACATGAAGAATTCTGCAACTGTGCGTTTCTATAACTTTGCCTTCATACTCTGTCCCTACTTCACAGCCTATAGAAGAGAGGACACACATGACATCTGCATGATCACTTGGAGCGACGCTCACACACAGGGTCCTCACGGGTTCTCAGGTGAGAAAACAACTCTTACTGGGAAGTGCGTCAGATAACCACTGACTCAGGAAGAATGTTGTGCTCCATTCACAAATTAAAATCAGTGGCTATTTTCCATTATATATTTAATTTCAATTTGATATATTTTATGGTTTTTTAAAATGCACTAAAAGCCTTACAATAAGGACTGTGTTGGGTGCTAGATAAAAAGATGTTAAAACAAACTCCCTGTCTTCAGTAGGTTTAAAATATTGAGTATCTTGACTGATAAGTTTAATAAGTACATATTCAAAATGCAAGGTAGGATGTGACAGATAAATGCTATGCACCATCTACTACAAGAGTTCAGGGAGAGAGAACTTAACATCTGCAACTTCATGGAGGAATTTAGTCAGTGGCAGGTGGGGCATTTGAAAGCAAAAGTTTTAATCACTACTTTCAGAACCTTATGAAACTGAAATCTCATTTCCAGGGTGACACCAGAAGAAAACATATATGTATATTTTTAAGTAAAACAAAATCTAATACATAAAAATGAGGCAGAACCTTTTGGTCTAAAAGGTAGATCACCTAAAAGATATTTAGTTTATACAGTTCTTAAAAAATGGAAACAATGTTTTGAAATTTCACAGCTTTCTCCTTTGGAGGCAACTTTCGAGAAGTATGCAGACCTACAATTACTTTACTATTAGACACCTTATGCTGACAGCATGTTACAGCTTACATGGCGATTGCAAATTTCAAAGGCAGTTTATATATTTTATATAGAAAGCACACGAGGTTAAGGTCTAAATCAATGCATTTGTCATCTCTATTTGTCTGTAGCAAAATCCATGGGATGCTTTTGTGACAGGCCATACAGACAGAGATGAGGACTTGGAAAACAACAGGCTCCCCTTTCAGATACTTGCTAGTTTTACAAACCCCAGGCAAACCAATGGAGAAAAAAATGTTGCTACTCAGGATTTATAAAGCACTTTCTGTAAAATGATCATGACTAAAATAATATATATATTATAGCAGTTAAGATCTCAAAATGCTTAGCTGTTTTTAAGTGTATGTAGAGAAATGAAGCTCATCTACCTCTTCAGAAAGTCCTCTGCTTTGCCTGTCCATTAAAGCTACATTGAAAGCAGATGAAGGGAGTTACTAACTATGGTGAAGCTGAGCTGTTTAGCATATGGAATCCCTACCCTGTTCATAGGGCATAAATTCTCTTTTGAAAAAGGTTAGATGAATTATCACTTAAAGTACATATCAAGGAAGCAAGGAAAATCATAAGACGTCGATGTTAGAAAACCTCATCTCAGTCAAATACTCCCGTTTTTCACTGAATTTTGAGCGTGGGTTGTGAAACGACACACTGGCAAGAAAGCCCCTGGAACGTGCACTCCATAGCTACAGGGCTTAGACAACACGCTTTAATATTTAGGGTCAACATGTGATCTCAGGAGAGGTTTGAGATTACTAAATTGAGTCCTCAGACTCATAGTAGCATGGAAAGGTGCTTACCACAGGCTGGGAGAGGCTGCAAGCCGGGCAGGAGACAATTTAAGTGTAGATGACTCAGCACAGATTAATAACACAGTAACAGCTTGAGTCTCATCATTCAGGCCTCACGTCGTCTGAGAGACCATCTCTCATTTCCCAAACTCATTCAGCAACCCTGCTTCCTAAACTGGTCACTCTCTATTGCCCCACTAATCGTGTGTACCTCTCTTAAAGTTTAGTCTACTTATTTGTACAGTGAAAGTTTTTTATATTTAAAATTAGCCAGCTGGGCTCTGTTTAGATGATCCCAATTTTGTTGGCAACATCCAAAGCATCATAGGTGAGAGCCAGTTGAAAACATGCCTTCTTCCCTCCGTCAGGCCTGACCAGGCCGTTGGCCTGGGCTGCGTCACTGTCACAGAGCCTCTTCACAGCCTGTTTGATCTGAGGCTTGTTGGCCTTGGCATCCACCATGAACACAAGTGTGCTGGTGTCTCCTGCCTTCTTCGTGGCTGCCTCAGTAGTCAGCGGGACCTGGGTGATGGCATAGCGGTCAAGCTTGTTTCTCCTGGGGACATTCTTCAGAGGATAGTCAACCTGCGCTCCAAGCCACAGTGTCCTGGGCCATTGGAAGGTGGGTGATGCAATTTTGTGTGTGTGTGGCTGTGGACACCCCTCAGCACTGCTTTCCTTGCCATCAAAGCCTTTGCTTTGGCTTCAGCTTGAGGGGGAACAGGAGGGGCCGGTTCCTTTTTTGCTTTTGGCACCATCTTTGTGAAAAGGGTCCACTTTTTTTTTTTAAAATACTTCTAATTTGAAATCATGGGAGGAAGAATGAATCCCCATGGGGGGGATTTGTATCAAGAGATGGTATTTGAAATTCACCTAGGTGTGTGGCACTATCTCTGCATAAACTGTAAAAGATACCATGTACTAAAATTCTTCAAATATTTTAGGAGTACCTACTGTATGTCTGTTTGGGGGTAGACAGGGGAGGGTAGAACTAAAGATGAGAAAGGCAGAGTCCCCGTCCGTTAAGGCACAGCAAAGATATTCTCTCTGCCTTGCCGTTCCAACCCGCCAGAAACATCGTAGACTCTCCTTGCTTTTGGTCTATTCTCTCTTTCATTTCCTCCATCTTTCAGAACTACATGCTTCCCATTAGGGGTCTCTGCTCCCTCCAGGCGCCACAGTCTCTTCCTGCTGCCTCCTGCCTTAGTCCTACTCTTCTCTCCATCTTCCCTCTTTCCTGCCTTATGTTGATTCTTCCTGGCTTTTAATACAAAAAGATGTCTCTTTCTCTCTCTTTTTCTTCCACTCCTTTTCCTTCCTTTCCTTCCAATATATGGAGCAAACTTCTCTTCTGCGTGAGTGATTACTTTGTCGGGCTCTGGCTCTTCCCAGCCTTACTTATTTGTCTGTCCATGAGAAGAACCCAGGATAGGTATCAGAAGACATGGAGTCTGGTTCTGGCTTTGTTTCACCAGCCTGCAACCTTGGGCAGGTCACAGGGAGTCATTTTTATCTGTGAAATATAGACAATCTATTTAGGTTTCTTCTGGTTCTAAAATCTCAAAATGCCAAAATGGCCTCAAAGTGTTGTGAAATTTAATGAACAAATAAACATCTGTTGACAATACATTTACAAGGGGAAAGAAGCCATGTAAACACATTCATTCCTTGAAGTCTGTCTTTTTAGTAAAAGAATTCCTACTCACCAGCTGTCCATATGAGTGTACACATTTACAAAAACCCAGAGTGGACAGAAAACATGGAGAAGCTACATGTTTAGAATGAGGACAAAAACCTACATTCTAAAAGAAACATTTTAAAGGCTGAAAATCTGGGAGTGTGCTATAGATACTCAAGGTAAATGCAGTATGTTTGTTATAGTGGAAAAAGAAACTTTTGCCACTTTTTATTTTGAAATAATTTTAAAGAAAAATTGTAAGAATAGTACAAAAAACTCTTATGTGCCCCTTATCCAATTCCCCAGTTGCTAACATTTTATCATATTTACTTTCATTCTCTTTCTCTCTATATATTATTTTTAGGAATAACATTTTCCTGAAGTATTTAAAAAAACTAAAAATGAAGAAACAAAGTGATAATACAGGTGTTTAAAATCTAAACCCTTGATGGAAAATGAAATGTATAATTTGAAATATATTTCTTCCTCTATTTTCCATTCAAAACTGCTGTCAATAATTCTGCTGATTTTTATGTTAATGTTAATGGCAAGCCACAGGGAATGTTGTTTATGATTAACTCGCGGTGACATAGGTCATTAATTCAGAATCTGACAAGTACCCTAATGAGAAAGCACTCTGGATAATTCCTAATAAAATATACATGTTTTATTTCACACATATATAATAAACTTTGGAGGAAGGAATTTTAAGTGTTGCTCTCCAGAGCATTTCCTTTTTCAGAAAAAGTGACACAATGTGTGTTAAGAAGGAAATTCTTTTAGTGTATAATTCCTATTTTTGAAAGCTCTTTAAAAATCATATAGAATCTTACAAATTTATATTCTATTGACAGGTATTAGCATAAGACAAGGAGGTATTTCAGTTGGGAATTTGGAAATGTAACTTTCTGTATCTCTCTCTC